TTTAGAATAAGATTTTTAGTTTATATTTTTTGGGGACATAATTGAAGTTCCTATATTCTTATAGTGGCTTTGTTTGCAAATTCTTATATAGGAGGGGAGGGTATTTTTTGAATTCTATTTTTCGAGGTAAAATATTCTGTAGCTGCTGATGTACATTTTAGACTTTTTCTAATAATTTGAATAGTTATTGAATGGTTATAATCTAAATCGTTTATCTGTCTCTTTATAATAATTTATACATGTACTTCATAAATGACTCATTTGTTTACACATAATTATAGAACAAGGTTATGGAATCATGTTTAGAAAATGAATTTTAGGTCAAAATCACTAAATAGATGATGATGCATTAGGATTTTGGGCATGTTGACTTCGTGGACGAGTAAGAGCATCTTCACTTGCCATTCATATGTATATTACTTTATTGGATGTATGAATGTGTTATCTTAATTGGTATTGAGTGAAATTTATATGCGATCATTAGATTTCATGTCATAAATTCTTTTAATGATCATTCATGCATATTAAGTCACCCATAAGCATGCATGAAATTTCACGAAATAAAGAGTTTTTAAATATCAATGTGAGAATGAATGTTTTTAAAAGAATGTGTCATAACAGTTTTTATTACGTGGTGTTGTCTATGCCTTGAAAGTGTGAGTGAAAAATGAGGTGTAGGGGGCAGGTGCACCCAACTAATGTTCAATGTTAATATTAACCGTTTTGCGGTACTACTGGTAGATTTGATCAAGTTCCAAATAACATGGCCCATTGAATTCTGATTTGGCTAGGCAATATATCAAGTGAGTTCAAGATGTCAATGTTAAGGTTTTTAAAGAAATAAAATAAAAGTAGATACAAACTGAGAAACGTTTTTTGATTGTAAAGTAATTCATATGCATATCATAAGCATGCATCATATACATGAAGTTTCCTTATTGACCGTTAGCATATTCCACGTTATCTCTCTCCATTTTCTAGATGATGAGAACAGGTGATACAATACGACTACCCCGAGGCGAGATGGACTCAGTATTGTCCTAGATTAGTTATTCTAGTTATATTCTAAATTAATAATTTGAAACTTTTGAGAATTGCTATTATTATGAATAAATCATTTCGGATCATGTATTTTACCTTACAAAATCGTTTGGAATTTTATTATTTCACAATTTATGATGTCAATTAAGTTCATTGATGTTAGTTAATTTTGTCTAATTTCTGCACATTAATGTTTTAAAAAGGGAAATTAATGCTTGTACTTATTAGTT